TAGTTTCTCAAAATTCAAGATATGAGAGGTTGCCATGTGTCAATTTAATTTTTTTACATTTGTCGTTTTAATTTATTTATTGAAAACAAAAATAAGTGTCTTTTATAACTTTAGCAATAATTCTAACAATCTAATAACTAATTCTTATGTAAATTAATTCTAACAAGTTAAAGTTAAGTGTTCTGTGTACATTTATGGAATATAATTTTTATGTAAATTTATGTATAGAACATAGATATTTTATTTATCAAATCCAACAATTTTTCTTATATAATATAGTAAGGTTTCTCAAAATTCAAACCATGAGAGGCTGACATATGTCCTTTAATTTTTTTGGCATTTGGCTTTTTAATTTATTGATTGAAAAGATCAGAAAAATTAAGCGTATTTTCATAACTTTAGCAATTAATTCGAACAATTTAATAGCTCATTCTATGTAACTCAAATCAACAATATCTTATACAAAAAAATATTTTTTTTTTGCTTTTTATATAGATAACTGTGATTTAAAAAACAAAATCACAAACAGAAAGCTTTAATAATAAGCAGCATGAAAACAAAAAAAATTGATGTGAGAAAATTAAAAAATAATTTTATAATTTTTATGACTTTTAAATTAACAAGTCTGATTGGAGAAATTTAGAATTTAAACGTTTTTAAAATGTTTTCATAGCTTTTAAAGCCAATTTACCAATCACCTCTAATGTAAATGAAACAATTTGTGTTGGACAAAATAACGTTTCTAACCATGACTTTCGAAAGAAAACTTTACTCCACCACAAATTGTAAATCTAGAAAAACAAAATCACTTCACCAATGAATTGATGTAAAAGATAAAAACCACAGCAAAACGATAAATAGAGTGAGACAATAATAGAATCAAACATCAATTATCTCTTCTTATGTTATAATGAAATAAACAAAAAGATGCACTCCAACACCTCTGTTGAGATGATGTAGATGTTTCGGTATAAGCAAAGCATACTACAACTTATCTGATCAATAGATTTTTACAGACATATTTGATGCAAAAAGATGACCAATCATTTTTCTAGGAAAACGTAGTGAATATTGATTCATACATACAAGTTAAAGACTTGTGTCAAAGAAGATATCTTCCACATGCTGTAATTTTTATCAATGAACGGTTTATTTTTTTTCATATATAACATTGTATATGTCCAACAATTTACTACAAATGCTTAATTTTCTAGCTTAGATAATTATTTACTATAAACACCAAATTGATATAATATTAAATACACAAATAATCAATAACTAGA